GCACCGTTTACAAGCAAAAACAGTCCAAAACAGCTCTAAACAAATATGTGGCTGGATTTTGATCCGTGAGACAACAGGAGACTTTTTCACTGGAGGAAGCGTTATTATGGATTATTGATTTCAGCCGGAAGCAACGGTTTGAAGTTACAAACGTCTTAATGCTGGATTTGTTTCAGCTTTTGTCTTCTCCAGATGTTAACTGATGGACTGGAGTGCTGTGGATTGCTTGTGGATTATTGTGATGTTTTTATCAGCTGTTTGGACTCTCATTCTGACGGCACCCATTCACTGCAGAGCAAGTGATGCAATGCTACATTTCTCCAAACCTGATGAAGAAACAAGCTCATCCTAATCCTGGATTGCCTGAGGGTGAGCACATTTTTTTAGCAAGTTGCCATTTTTGGGTGAACTATTCATTTAAGGTAAAAGGTTATCACTTTTACAGTTGTTTTCTTTTAATCTTCAGCTTTAGCTCGTTATATTGCTGAAGTAAGCTGTATGTTTTTAACTCTGTCCGGCAGATGCACGCTATTCCCCTGCGCTCCTCCTGGGTCATGACCTGTGCCTACGCCCCGTCGGGGAACTACGTGGCCTGCGGAGGCCTAGACAACATCTGCTCCACCTACAGCCTTAAAACCCGCGAGGGCAACGTCAGGGTCAACCGAGAACTGGCTGGACACACAGGTAGAGGCACTTTTATTTATCTCTTCAGTAATATTAACTAGTACTTCCTCTAAAACAGGGATTAATCAGCAGAACCCCTTTGACCTGAAATGTTTACTGAGATTTAAAGTAAATTTTTCAATAATTTAACAACACATTTGCGTATTCTCGGTTCTCTGATGCCGGTTTATGCAGGTAAACAAATAAAATATTTAAAGTGTTTTATTTTTACTGTTTTTATTGTAATAATATTATTGATGTTAAATAATATATCCACTACTGGTTATTTATTTATTTTGGAAAACTCAGCTTTATCATAGGAATAAATTACATTATAAAATATATTTAAATAGAAAATTGTTATTTTAAGTATCACAATATTACTGACATTTCAAATAAATGCAGCCTTGATGAGCAGAAGAGACTTTTCAAAAACATTATAACATTCTAATTATTCCAAACTTTTGACCAGAAATTGTTTTAATACAATTCTGTATTTTATATTATATGTAAACATAATTATGTATTTAAATTTGACATTATGATTTAATAAAGTATTAATTAACTAAATATTATGACCTTGGCTAACTCACAAACCTCAGTTTGGGAAACCCTACTCTAAAACAATTCTTTCTGTATGGCATTTCATACAATATATAATTAATCAATGAAAGACATAAATGATGATTTTTTTTATTAATGATTCTGTAGGCTATCTGTCTTGCTGTCGTTTTCTTGATGACAATCAGATCATCACCAGCTCTGGTGACACCACATGGTGAGTTAATGTTACATACAATAATAATAATTAAACTGATTATTGTGTAGCATTAGTATGTCAAGGGATAAATGGTGTATGCGGTGTTAACTTTATTTGGCATGTACATATTTTAGTAAAAATTTTTCTTGTTTGAAATTGATTATTTTAAAATGTTTTTTTGTTTTTTTTTATTGTATATTTTATCATTTATTTTCTTTTATCCAAAGCGACTGGCATTTAAGGTATATATTTTATTAGCTCATGCATTCCCTAGGATTCGAACTCATGACCTGTACATTGCTATCGGCATGCTCTATTGTTGCTACAGGAAATATTTATTGCAATGTTAAATGCATAATAGGTGTTATTTCATGTTGTTTTTGAATTAAAAGCATTTGGTTTTGATTGAAATTAAATGAACTCCATGTTTAACTTTGCTCCTTCAGTACATTGTGGGACATTGAGACGGGCCAGCAGACCACCAGTTTCACGGGACACACGGGTGATGTCATGAGTCTGTCGGTCAGTCCCGACTTAAAGACGTTCGTGTCAGGAGCCTGCGATGCTTCTGCCAAACTGTGGGACATCAGAGATGGGGTGTGCAGGCAGTCCTTCACCGGCCACGTCTCGGATATAAATGCCGTCTGTGTAAGTATTTCGATCGACTTTTAAAGGGGTCCTATTCTGCTCTTTTACAAAGTCTTGATTTTGTTTTGGGGGTGTACTAGAGCAGGCTCTCATACTAGGTTGTTCGAAAAACACATTATTTTCACATATTTTACATTATTACAACACCTCTCTCCCCAGTCTGGCATGAACGGCTCGAATAGTTCCTGTATCAAATGAAGGCCCGCCTTCTGAAATAC